CTCTCTTAGGCATAGCCAAGTTGGAAAAGTCTCCTATTCGAAGACGAACGGTAAGGGAGATAAAGAAGCAAACAAGCTCTTTTTTAGAGTTAAAAAATTAAATTATGTTTCTTTTTCATCATCTATCTTCAACTATGTATTGTTTCAAAATGATAATGTTAAATTTGAAAATTTAATTATAATTATAAACAATATATAATTGTTATTCATTATTATGTAAAAAAATATATAAGTGTTATTAATAATTCCCTTGGGGCAAGGCATCGAACGTCAAAGTCGCCATAATAGCGTGTTAATTAATGTTACCCTATATATTATCCTCCCACACGTAATTGTCCAATAACCCCTCTCCCTATATACTAGTACAGTGCCCATGCGATGTACGGGGTGCACAATTTTAAGATCATTTATTCATTCTTATAATTATATAAATGAATAAAAAAAATGTACGGGATATATATAGTACGTGACCTGTAATAAGCCAAAATATGAACACGGATGATGCACGGGGTGCACAATTTTAAGCTCATTTATTAGTACAGAGCCCGTGAGATACACGGGGTGCACAATTTTCTAGTATGTGTAATAAAAATACATACCGTATGCACGGGACAAAAGCACTAAATGAGTCATTTCCACAGAACTTGCCCGTTAAGTAGCTCCTAAACACAGGTGCACAATTTGTAGTACGTACCATAAAATCAGAGCATATTTCCATACAATTAGATAATAAATTAGATAATAAATAAAGTATTTTTATTTTAGTAAAGATTTTACGTACTTTATTTTTTTACTTATCAGATGTTATGGTGTTTTTTTTGTTAAACCGATTTTGTGGAATATAATACAAATACAATTAGAGGATTGAACAAAATCAGAACAGATTTTCATACAATTAGATAATAAAAAGAAATTAGATAAGGAAAACAATGAATTAGATAAGAAAAAAAAGAATTAGATAAGGAATTTTGAATCTGACTTTTTTTTTGGATAGATAGACTTTACGTACAAATTTTGACTTCACTGATTTTATGGGATTTATTTGACAAAATCGATGTTAATATGGGATAAGACAAATAAAAAAAGTCTTTTTATTTTAGTAAATATTTTACGTCTTTTTTTTTACTTGTCATATGTTATGGGATTTTTTTTTCTTAAACTGATTTTATGGGATATAAGATAAATAAATAAAATAATTAAATAAAATTCTGGATAGAAATAGCAATGCATTAATTACGTTGACTTTTCAATCTACTAAATTTGGTAAATAGGATACCTTATATAATAAGTATAGATACAAATAAATAACATGCCAAAATTTTAAAGAATAATTAATGTATTTTAATTTATTATCTAACCATCAGTAATATCATTTAATGATGATGTGATCATTATCTCTTAAATGATAAATAAAATATTAATTTTAAAAAATATTTGTTTTTTATATAATCAAATAAAAATTAAAAAATACTGTCGACAAATATGAATTATAATATATATCAGTAAAATAAAATCATTGCAGAAGTTCATAAAATTATTTAAGGAAAGAATCTTTTTGATCATATTTGAATAGAAAATATATATATGCAAGCAATTAATGCATATAGTAAAAAATTTCTAAATAAAGTATGCATTAAATGTGAGTTGACTTTTTTTGCTACTATTTTTGGTAAATAGTATGACTTTTAATATAAGCATAGATTAATCCAGAATGCGTTGAGCTTACATGACTGTTTTTTGTGATTCGGAATTCTATATGGCAAAATTACATGCTTGTTATTAGGCTTGGGTAAATTTTAATTTAATTCCAAACAAAAAATAATTAGGTTCGGATTACCATAAATATGTTGATTATTTATGGTCATGTTAAATGCATTAATTGCATTTTAATATCATTCCTTATTATAACTATTGAATTGTATATGTATTTTAAATGTTAATAACTTTTGTATTTTTTTATCAGTTTTACATATGTAATATATCAAATTAATCTTATTTTGATAAGTTTCGATTTAATATCCCGATTGTATGTATAAAAATAATAATTTATATTTATCTTTATAACAATAATCACTACAAAATAAAGGTTATATTCCAACGGAAAATCCTTTGGTAATATATTCCAATGGAATAGTTTCCGTTGGAATAGTTCCAACAGAAATTTCAACGTAAATATTCTGTTGGAATGTGTTTTTCATTGAAATTTTAAATGAAATTTGATGATTCCAACGGCTATATTTTCAACGGCTTTTTACCGTAGGAATTTCCGTTGGAAATTTTTTTTCCACCCATGTTGGAAAATCCACCATTGGAATCGTCAAAAAACCCAACGGAAATTCCAATGGAAACTCATTCCAACGGAATTTTTTAGTTGGAATTTCCGTTGGAATCCATTGAAAAAAATTCCAACGGAAATAATAGTATTGAAATATTCGTTGGAATTGCCGTTGGAATAATTCTTTTGAAATATATTTCCGTTGGAATTTCATCATTTTCTTGTAGTGAATAAAATTATTTTTAATATTAATTAGAAAAATAAAATTATTTATCAACAAATATATTTATATTTCAAGTAGATATGATATAAGTTATAAAAACTAATGTAATATAACACATGTAAGTCATAAGTAACACATATCATTCTAAAATATATAGTAATATATTTTTTTGTAAAAAAGTAAACTAAATTTAATATAGTTTTCTCATTAACTTTAAAATTTAAGAATAATTTTTAACAAGCACCCGTGTAATACACGGGTGTTGTACTAGTAAGTCAATATTACAAAATATGTCGAAATAACAATTTTAGACTTTTTTTTTTTTTTT